CGGGGAAGGAAACCGCTAGGATAGACTGGGAGTTCCGGGCAAATGATCCCAGGAGACCTTTGTACGCAGGTGAGAGAAAGAACCACGAAGGTCCCTAGTGCTATCAGCTTGGCGTTGTAGACTGCCATGCACTCTCCCCTGTCCTCCCTAGTCGGCAAGTTCAGCTTGATCCCCTGTTCTTTCTTTTTGGGGGTGGAGTCGGGGAGAAGTGTATCATCATCATTGATCTCAAGTATATGCATTGAATTGAATCCTGACCTTGAAACACAGACACAAAGCCCAAGCCTCTTACTGCCCGGTAGAGTCTGACTCACAGCAACTCAATATAGGGTTTTGGAGGCTGCAAATCATTACCGGGGCATATTAGCCTCATCTTTTCCCACTTCAGAATGGCTGGGGGGTCTGAACTGCCAACTTTGCAGTGATTTATTGCCGTCTTTCTTTATGGTTCAATTCTTCTGCTGTATAAGTAATATTCTGTTGTGTGGCTCTATCGAAGTTTATTTTTCTGCTCTGTGGTTGATAGGTATTTGGGTTGTTTCCATTCTCTTATTATTGTGAAAAACATTAGGCATGGTTTCACAAATGAACTCTGGTGGCACAGTGGGCTAAGCATTAGGGTGCTAACCAGAAGGTTAGCATTTCGAAGGCAGCAGCCACTCTGAGGGAGAAAGATGAAGCTATCTTCTCTCAAAAATTTTTGCAGCCTTGGAAAACCATATAGGGCCAGTCTCTCAAAATGATTCCATGACAATGGGTTATTGTTTTTCATGTTTCCTGTTATGTATGTCTATGATTTTTTTTCTCCTGTATGTACGTAAGAGTCTAAAATAGCTAGATCATAGGGCACATGAATATTCAGTTCTATGACAATGCCATGCTGACTCACATAGAGCTTTTTCAGATAGTGGATAAGCATCTGCATTACCTAGTTTTTTAATTTTGCTGTGAATGCCATTGTGGCATTGAATTTTAGTTCCTTGATCACCAGTGGTGTGGGACATCTCTTGATGTGTTTATTGGCATATCTTCATATTCTGTTTGACCACACTCTGAGCATTTTTCTATTGGATTCGCTCTTGCATGTGATCTATTCTATTTTTCCCCATAAATGTTTTCTTTGTTTTTGAATGTTAAAATTTACATAATGTGACTTGTTGTTAGGTGCCATTGAGTGAGCTCCAGCTCGTAGCAATTCTGTGTATACAAGAACGTGCTGCTTGGTTCTGTACCACCTGTACACTGGTCTCATGCTTGAGCCTATCCTTGCAGTCCCTGTGTCAATATCGCTCATCAAGGGTTTGCCCGTTTTTCTCTGACCCTCTCTACCAAGCATGATGTCCTGTTCCAGGGACTGGCTTCTCCTGATGATATGTTCAAATTACAAAGTCTCACCATCCTTGCTTCTAAGGAGCATTCTGGCTGTATTTCTTCCAACAGAGGTTTGTTGGTTGGTTTGTACTGGCAGCCCAGAGTACTTTCAATATTCTTCACCAACACTTAACTTTGAAGCATTAATTCTTCAGCAAATTAAAATGGTCTTATTCATCTGGTCCTCTTATTTATTGTCCAACTTGCGTGTGCATATGAGACAATTGGAAATACCATGGCTTTGGTCAAGTCTTCAAAGTGACATTTTTGCTCTTTAACACTTTAAATAAGTCTTCTCTTAGTGATACTGAGTGAATTCAGACTCATAAGCTGCTCTGTAGGATTGGGTCGAACTGCCCCTGTGGGTTTCTGAGACTGTATTTATCCAACAGATATGCCCAGTTATTGCGTTGTTTGATTTCTTGACTGCTGCTTCCATGAACATTGATTATGGGTCCCAGAAAAAAGAAATCCTTGACAACGTCGATCTTTTCCCATGTATCATGAGGTCCATTTGTTAGGATTTAATAATTTTTCTTTACGTGTAATTGTAATCCATACTAAAGACTATATATAGTCTTTGATTTCACCAGTAAAGGTTTCAAGTCCTCTTCCGTTAAACCAAGCATGGTTGTGTCATTTGTATATCACAAGTTTCTAATGAGCCTTCCTCCAACCCCCATGGCTTGTTCTTCCTAATTTGGTCTAGTCTCTCACGTAGTTTGCTCAGCAGATAAAGTACGGTGAAAAGGTACAGCCCTGACCAATCTTCTCCTCTTTTTAAACCATGCAGTGTTCCTTTGTTCTGATGGAAGAACCACTTCTTGGTCTGTGTACATATTATGCGTGAGCATATTAGCAGAACAGTGAAGTGTTCTGGAATTCCCGTTCTTCTTAATGTTATCCATAGGTTGTTAGGATTCTCATAGCCACATGCGTCTGCATAATTGATAAAACACAAAGAAACATCTTTTAGGTGTTCTCTGATTTCGGCCCAGATCCATCTGACATCAGCAAGGATATTACATATTCCACATCCTCGTCTGAATCCAGCTACAATTTCTAGCAGCTTCCTCAAAAAACGCTGTAGCCATTTTAATTATCATCAGCAAAATTTTACTTGCTTGTGATATTAATGATATTGTTCAATAATTTATGTCTTCTGTTGTTTCACCTTTCTTTGCAATGGGTACAAATATGGATCTCTTCTAATTGGTTGACCATGTAGCTGTTGTCTGTATTTCTTGGCGTAGATGAGTGAGTTCTTCTAGGACTGCATCAGCTGATCGAAACATTTGGATTGATAATCTGTCAATTTCCTGAGCCCTGTTTGTCCATAATGCCACTCATGCAGCTTGGAATTCTTCCTTCAGTACCATGGATTTTTTATTATTGGCTAACTCTTGAAGTGGTTGACTGTCATAATGTGACTGGGTGTGAGTTTCCTTCTCTCTCCTCTTTGGCATTCAGACTGGGTTCTTAGCAGGATATCTTCCATCTTCCTTTATGTTTTGTACGAAGAAAGACATTTTTCTTTAAACATTATTTCCTCTCCATCTTTCTCTTTTGGGACTCCTATATTCAGAATACCAGCACTTCAACTTTTATCCGGTGTCTCGTCTTTTCTTTTGCACATTCATTTCTTTGCTTTTCCCCTTTTTTCTGGAACTTTCTTCATTTTAGTCTTAAAGCTTGTTCATTTGTTCCTCAGCTGCCTTCTTATCTGTCATCTCGTGTGATTTTAGAAATTCATTGGTTATATATTTTTAGATTTTTCATTTCTGTTATATTCTTATTTCAGATTGATAATATCGTACCTCTAAAATTCTATTTATGAGGTTCTTTTATGTCTGTTCTCATAGCTCTCATTCTGTTCCATCTATAATCCAGTCTTTTCTTTCTTTCTTCTTCCCCCTTTGAAATGGTTGTGTTCCTCAAATATCTTATTTTCTTTGGCTGCTGGCCTCCTTTGCCCTTAGGGGTGGGTGGTGTTTATTTTGTCAGACTGTGCAAATGAGGGAAGGCAGGACCCAGTCTTAGTGTCTCAAGACCTCAAGGCCCAGTGGGGAGGCCTGGGAGCTGTGGAGGAGGAGACCCTCTGGCGGAGAGGCTCCCGGTGCACAGCACAGCCAGGCACAAGAGTGCAGAATCCTGTAACTGATTTAGAGAGGAGACCAAGAACCTGGCAAGCCAGTGTGAACACGCACTCCATTTCCCTTGTGATCTCCTTTTCCGTCTTTCCATTTGGATATTCTTTGCCTCAGGGACTCTTGTGTTAAAGCTCAGAAATGTGCATCTGGAGCACTGACTTATCTGACTGTAGCGTTTCCCACATTATTTTTCCACTTATACACAGGAGAGAGAGATGGGGGTTGTGTGTGTGTGTGTGTGTGTGTGTGTGTGTGTGTGTGTGTGTGTGAGAGAGAGAGAGAGAGAGAGAGAGAAAGAGAGAGAGAGAGAAAGAAGTTAGTAGTAGCAATGAATCCTTTTAAATTTTTTGAAGGTGGGCAGAAATCAATGTACATCAGACTAAATGAGAATTTACCACTGGCTAACCATAGCTAACATTAATTAAACACTTTAGAAGATGCTAGGCAATTGCTAAGCATCTTGCATATGCTACTAATGAATCCATCTGAGAATCCATTAACATGTCAATGGATTCCTTTGAGCTTCAAACTTGTTGATAGTACTTTCAAAGATGATATTTTTTTGGTCACATTTCAGACAAGGCAGAAGCCCTTAAAGTAAAAGGTGCCTGATATCTTTTTAATCCTCTCCTCGAAGCCCCCTGGACTCTAACCATTTGGATGGAACCTGGAGAGGTCATTCACGAGATCTTCTCCTAACAGAGATGGGCAGCCATCCATCCACGTGCTCACACCCTTCACATGTGCGGCCCTGCTCTTCTGGAACACTTTGCTTCTTAAACTCATAATGCACAGATCCACCCCAAAGAATGACTGGGAGCTAGGATTTCATTTCATAAAGCTTTGACCAAGTCCTGCCAGAAACTTGTGTGCTGACTGGAGTGGTGGGATTTGGGGCCAACACGACAGGCACAATGCGTAAGATTAGGGAGCTTGCCTTTGGGGAGAGAGACCAAAGATGCGAGACAGTTTCGGATACTTGGTGCAAAGAAAGAAAGACAATTAAGGAATGTGAAGCAGTGGAAGAACTGGGATAAACCAGTCGAGTTGCAGGCTGAGAACCTGGTCACCCTACTGGTAGACCAGGCCAAAGAATTCTCATTGCCCAGCACGTGTGACCGGGAGGGAAGGAAGCACCTCAGCCACAAGCTGGTGACGGATTCACCAGTAGTGAGCAGACAGTGGTTTCAATAGTAGTGAGAGGTGGGTAGACCGGAGGGAAGCAGTAGAATGTTTTGCTAGACTGAATATGGTGATGCAAGAAAGATAGGGCTCTAGATAGTGTGCATTTGGAGCTTAGACAGCTGGGTGGGTGAGGGTCCCGTTCTTGAGATACGGGGAGTTCGAGGGAGGGAGAGTGTTTTAAGTGTCTAAATTTGCAGATGAATTCCAGCACCACTTAATTTGCATATTCTTGAAAATCATTGGAAGGTTACCTATGTTTTATAGCTTGTTCATTCTCTGTCTTCTCTTAATAAGGTGACTCTCTTTTGAAAAGTGGAACCAGATCTCTTCTGGAATTCAACACCACAGTGAGCTGTGGGCAACCGGGCACAAATCACAAAGTCCAGAGTAGTATCACCTTCCTGTGCGGGAAAACCCTGGTGAGTCCACACCGTTCCTGCATGCATGCATGTCTCATGCTTAACATGTGGGCCCCATGGGTGTTCTTCTTTGAGAGAGATTCCAGAAAGAATCAGCAAACAGAACTAAAAACCCTAACAAACACCCTGAGCAAATCACCATCACCCTCAAGAACCAGTAAACAAACCCCAAGCCTACAGTTAAATCTTTGAAGTGAAACTTGACCCGCTCCAAGCCCCCCAATGCTGACGGATTGGGGGGTGTCAGCGCTCGGAGCACTGCTGAATGTTCAGGCTGCGGGCATGCACTTTTTTTTTTTAAGATTTCTTAAAACCTCTTCTCCCAGCATTTCATTTTGACAGGTTTTAGGGCCATGTGTTTATTTTAAACAACTGGTTTTCCCTTCCCCCGTTTACATTACATCGGAGAGAACGGCATCTATTTAGCCGAAGCCTCAGCCATCGGGTAATGGACTTCCCAGGCACTTTTTTTTTTTTCCCTCTCCCTGATTCCCACCCCGTCTCGAAAAGGGACTTTAAATGCATGAAGTGTGATGCTTGCCGGTACTCTGTGCACTTTGATGTGATTTGTTGGTTTTAATTTTTAGTGTTTAGAAGTTTTCAATAAGTAATTGCCAACTTTTCGGGAGAAGCAGTGGGTATCCAAATCCTCTGAGTGTACCTCACCAGAGTAAGAAGGCCAGGGCAGAGAAAACTCAGGTTGAGCGGAACTCAGGTGGCTGCCAAATTGCTTTCAACTAGCAGAGTAGAAGCGGGTGCCACTGACCACTGCACCTCCAGGCCCCTGATGCTTAATCCGAACAACGTCAACTACTTGAGATCAAAAGTCCACCTTTGCACACAGACATGGAGAGTAGCAGGAAGCCCGGGAGAAAGTGGGATCAGAGCCCTTAACATGGTGGGAATGGTAATCAATGACCGGAAGCGAAGGAGTCCAGGTTTTGAATGGAAAACTGATCTAAACCTCCATCCACTTCACAGTAAAAACGCTTTTTTTAAAAAGAAACACTTGTAGTGCTAATTCTGATTGCACAATACCCCCACATACCAGCACCTCAAGAAAAAAATAATCTCCGTGCTTGCAATCTCAAATTCTATATCTGAGGGTGTAAGCTAGCTGCTATTTAATGGTCACCAACGGCCACCGTGCTCACTGTACAAGAAATAAGAGTGTTGCCGCTGAGCCCCTTCATTTGCCCCATGCGTGTGCACTGGTGGGTTTCCACCTGGCCCACGGTCCAGCGGTGTGGGATCTGGTCGTCCTGATCAGCTAGGCTGAGCTGTGTGTCTCTTAGGTGTACACACGGGAGACCAGTCCAGATGGGCCTCGCCCTGAGCTCACAGGAAGCATGAGTTCACGTTTCTGGCTTGGATTTTGTTGGCATTTGTGGAAGAGAACATTTGGAGTTAGAGAGCTGAACGGCTCTGAGGATTCGTTCCCCTGAGCTTCCTGTACTTGCATAGCTCGGCCAGGGGAACAGTTTTGGGCCAGTTACATCAAAATTCCGATGTCATTTCGTGAAGGTTTACTTTGAGAATTTGGTTGTGTGGAGAACTTCTCATTACCCTTGTTGAAAATGGTTGCACGTTGTTCTCCTACGCCCCCCGACCCCCCTCAGCCCCTTCTTCCTGCCCGTCTGATGCTACTTAAATTTTCATTCGCCCAGATAATGTTCTTGCTTTAAGAAAGGAAATCTGACGCTGTGTGTGGTGGTAACTTCTTGTCACTTGCCCTTCAAATAGGGGACTCCGGAGTTTGTTACTGCAACAGCATGTGTGCATTACTTCGAGTGGAGGACTTCAGCAGCCTGCAGGAAAGACACCTTTAAAGCCATTAAAGAGGTAATGTGTTGCTGAATGGAAAGTCTTGGGACCTTTTAAGATCAGAAATACTGATCCCCTAACTGTTTTGGATAAAAAACGTGTTTCTCTCTTTTGGTTTTGTTTTTCAAACTGTAGTTGAGCAAAGACGTGACCATGTGCTCCCATTGTGAAAAATTGCCCGGGGAGGTTCTTATTTTTAGACCAGGGCATTAGCAATACCACAGGCTGTGGTTCTTGGTTTGCTGGCTCACAGGCCGGATCTGAGTCTGGGAGTCGGAGACTCCAGAGCCAAGGAGCGGGTGTGGGTTTTCACCCCATGAAGGAGCCGCCTCCTAAATGTGTCCCCCGCCTCTGCTGGCTTCCTGCAGGTTTGGGTTCCCATTTTCCTGTGCTGGCTATTCAGTCCACTCTGTGTCCTTGGGATTACTTTTGGATACCATGGTGGGTCTGGGCCAAGTGCCCCTCCCCTTACATTTTGTGCCGTGTACCCCTCAGCTGAGATCACCATTATCTCTGCTTCCACTCTGGCCCTGTGATTATCTGGGCAGCCCCTGGTCCTGCCCTTCTAGGGGATAAGGAGGCCGCCCCTTCCACAGCCCTGAGCTCTTTTTTCTCTGCCCTGCACATGGCCTCTGGAGTGGGGAAGCCTGGACTGGGGGTCATGCTCCTCTCCCACCACGCCTGGTCTTAAAGGTGGCTTCCTGTCCCACTCTGACAACAGGAAAGGTTATCGATTATTTTCACCCTTGCCCACTAGCCTTCTGTTTGCCAGGGTGAAGGGCAAAGACTGTCGCAGGAGCTGGGAGCCGACTAATGGTAGCTGAACACGTGTAGTTCGAGACAGGCTGCAGAAAGCCGGAAGTTTGCTTCTTAAGAATAAAACTAAATCTAACTCAAATAATATGTCATTGGTGTGCTTCACATCGGGTAGTTTATCAACGAAAAGACAGCCTTACCACTATCTCCCAGCTCACAGAACAGAGTGCATGTTGGAAAAGAAATTTAAAGTAGGAGAGAATGAACGCCTAACACACTGACCCAGTTATTATTAGGCCGGCCTGGCTAATGAGTTGGCTCTCACTCCTGGGGGTCTGAGGAGCCCTGTGTGCCATAGATTCCAGTAGCTGGTTTTGGGGGGAGTAGATCTCTAGACCTTACTCCTAGGTCACCCCCCGGGTAGACTCAAGGCACCAACCTTTCCCTAGCAGCCCAGTGCCTTCACCATTTGCGCCACAGTCGTGTCACACTCTAAAGGCACCATCGTGGTTCACTTGCTTTCCACGTTCTTCAACAGCCCATGGGTCACACCCGGGTTGTACCCTGCCCTGGGTCTGTTTTCTTGTCCAGCTCTGGTGCTAAGCATATATGCTCTTTCACATTTTTTTGAAATGGGTAAACGGAGAGGAATGTGCAGGCACCAGAGACCACTGTGACCCTTGAAGCCCGACCTAACTCCTGGCTGGCCCTTGGCGGAGAGGGCTTGCTGACCCATTAGGAATAGTTCTTTTGGGTGGGGAGGTGCTGGCGACAAGTGGCAGCCCAGGTTTTTCTCAAAATAGTGCATGTGGATGTCATGTAGAAGCTGAGCTAAGCATGGTAAATGCTTGTACGTTGGGCCTTTATCATCGGTGTAGGTATGGCTCGTGGCAAGGGGGTGGGGGGTGGGGGGAGTCACTCAGTTTTCACTTTGTATTCCTTGAGAGCCTGTGGCAGCCTGAGCAGTCGGGTCCTACTCACAGTGTAAAACGGGCCTTGCTTTCAGGGGGCCCAGCATCTAAAGGTGTGGGGGCTGTGGCCACATTGAGGACCACAGGCTCGTCCTTACCTGGGATAGATTAATGAACGGCAAGGGCACATTAGCTGACTGTGAAATAAGCCGTGCAGCCGCCCATCCTTGCCAGTGCCTAACAGCACGTCTTCCCTTCCCTTTAGTTTGGTTTGATTACACCTTTCAGGCTATGGTGTGACAGCTTCCAAAAAATGCTATGAAATGTTTGCTGTACTTGTCAAAAATGCTCATTGTTCCTTAAGGGAAAAACAAAACCCAAAGCAGACGAACAAACCCCAAACCCAGATTTAGTTTAGGGTTGCTTGTAGTCTTGACCAAGTGCTCGGTCACTTTTGGGACATTTGGGTGGTGGAGCTCTTAGTTGTCCCAAGCGATTGGTCCAATGCTTGGTCAGTGATCCTGGCAGTCCTTCCTCCCCTAGAGAATTATTTCTTTAAAATATTGTAGACATATGTGCCTGACCATAACACTCTGGGAATGAATAACATTCAGAGCAGGCATGTTAGGAATTCTACCAGAGTTACATAAATAAGATTTATGTACCCAGGACAGTGCCGGTGCCGTGCCTTCAGCATGAGGTGTGTGGAGCTGGCCAGCCACTCTCACTCCTTCATGGCTGCCAAATTCCTGATCTCCTGAATGCCCCCATTGCCTCGCCCTGACTGGGAGCTGGAGGGCTTTCCAGGCAGGCTGGGGGTGTCAGGGGCACTGCTGCATTTCCAGCCTGGGGGTGGGTGGGCTATGAGGGGATGCTCCTGTTCCCTTCTGGAGGAGGGAGACAGCAGGGGTGGCCAACTTCCCTGAGCTGGTGCCTGTCTAGGCTGAGTCCCTCAAGGTCCTTGTGAAGCTGGGCTGTTCAGACTGCCCTCACCAGTCTGCCGACGATGTCCTCCCTTCTGGGCTTCGCGTCGCTGGGTTCTCTTGCTGTGTGTGGGTGACCAGTTTTAGATTTCTGGGGTTGCAGACGTGTGTACCTGCTCTCCAAGGAGCCCACGTTACTATCTGCAGTGCCGGTCTGGTTTTATTTGACTTCGCCTCTCTGTGGACCGCCTTGACCCGCTGACCTCTGCCCTCATTGGCTCTGGTGGCTTGTGCTCTCTTAGCCCCTGACCTCATTGTCACTGCGTCATCTCTGAGTCACTCCATCTCTGAAAGGCTCCTCCTGGGCCCCCTGGGACTGAAAGGAGGTGCCTCTCCCTGAAGCTGTTGTATGTTCTCCTGGCACTCCTGAAATCTTGGCACCAGCACCGGCACTGGCACTGGCACTGGCACTGGCACTGGCACCGGTGGTTAGGCCATCCCTGCAGGCACCGTCGCCTCTTTCTCATAAGACCCAGAAAGCTAAATATTATGCAGTTGGAGTTTGCAAATAGACTTGCCTGTGAACAGCTTCTGTCTAGAAGGCAAAATTTTAGGGCAATTATCCATGGAAAGTGATAAAACTAATCACTTTGAAATGATTGCAGGGCATAAAATTTTAGGATTTTCCTTGGCAGGGCAGGACCAAAACTATAAACCTAAAACCAAACCCACTGCTGTCAGGTTGATTCTGACTCACAGTGACCCTGTAGGACAGAGTCCCAACTGCCCAGGAGGGCTTCCCGGGCTGTCATCATCACAACAGCAGACTGCCACTTCTCTCTCCCGTGGAGTGGCAGGTGGGTTTGAATGGCCAGCCTGCAATTAGCAGCCGAGCGCTTCATTGCTGCACCACCAGCATGTTGGACCTTGATTGTACCCGAGGGAAAGTTGGTGGGGCATTTCCACCCTGTTCCATAGAGTGGCTATGGGTCAGATCCAACTCTAGGCAGTGCGTTCCATTTTAATTTTAGACCAGTAAATTATTTTAGAAGTAAACTGTGTGGGGATGTTTTAAGTGAAGCCATAGTAGCAGATGGATGGTGTTAACTAGGTGAACTGAACCCAGCTCACTCTTGGGTATATCTCTGGGCTCGAAGGCTTTGCCTTCAGAAAGAGCCAGTGCTTTTATTTTATTTTATTTTATTATTATTTTTTTTTTGAGCCAGTGCTTTTAAAGTGTAAGGTCACCCTGTGGCTTATATAGGTCTGGAATGATAGGAGAGACACCCATCTGGGGACCAGTTGGCTAGTGTTGAAGGCCACTGGCGTGGAGGAGCTCAGCGAGCAGTGTGTAGATGGGCCCGGGCGCAGTAGCTCTTCCACAGTGAGAGTTCCTTAGAAGGAAGGTGGAAGGGTCCCTTGGGCAGCTGCTCACTGGAAAGCTAGAGATTTGAGTCACGCTCCCCTCCCCCTTCCCCCAATGTGCCTCCAAGGAAGAGCCTGACAAACTACTCCTGAATAATCAGACTTTTGAGAACCAGGGGCAGCACAGTCCACTGTCTCTACATACCAGGCTGGCCATGGCTGGGTGGAGTTTGTCACAAATTGTTATCAGGAGCAGGAAGTACTGGGAAGGTGAGAAATTTCCCCCAGGAGGCTGGGGGTGGGCAGAATGAAAACTAGGAAGGTCAGATGACCCTGAGATCAAGGGAGTGGAGACTCAGAGGTGGACATGGCTTGTGACCACAAAGCACTCTCTCTGGTGTCCAGGCATCCTTAGTATGTGGCAGTGGGGGACAGAAACCTGAGGAGTGGGGTTGGGGGGTGAGAAAGGCGTGGAGAGACAGGGGTGTGGGAGATGGGGTGTGGCATTTTTTTGGAAGATGGCTACTATAGTCTGCAGGAACCCTGGTAGTGTCATTGGGCTGCTCAGGCAAGGTCAGCAGTTGGAAACCACCAGCTGCTCCTTGGGAGAAAGGATGAGGCATTTTACTCCTGTGAAGAGCTACAGTCTCTGAAACCCAGAAGAGCAGTCCCACCTTGTCCTTTAGATTCGTGGAGTCAGAATTAACCGGATGCAGTGACTTTGGTTAGTCTGCTGACAGGAGGGACCCCGTGGAGAGGAAAGAGCTAGGTATGCATGCAGACCTGAGGAACTGCTGCTAGAGCTGACCCTTCAAAGGACACGGAGCCACGCGTTCCTTTTGCCATCAGGGACTGGCACAGCCCCGAGATGTCGAGGAGTGGGCATGAGTTACTGGAGAAGATGCTTGACGAGAACTCTTTTCTCCTCCCCTCTTCCAGGTGCCCTGCTATGTGTTTGATAAGGAGTTCAAGAAGCATGATCTAAACCCGCTGATGAAGAGCAGCGGGGCCTACCTGGTGGACGACTCGGACCCCGACACCTCTCTCTACATCAATGTGTGCAGAGACATAGGTGCGGCTCTCTGGGGGCTGGGGCGGGCTGGGGCCGCCTGGGGCCCAGGGTGCTTGGGGAGGTCAGGAGATTTTTCAAAGCCTTCCTTATCTTGGCCCTCCCACCTCCCCCTCCTGTTTGGACATCCATGTCACTGATTAGGACCTTGAAGAAAGCATTTGCCCCAAGACACGGTCCATAAAACTATGGCCTTCGAAAGATTGGAAAAACTTAAACAAAACAAAACGTTGTTGGGGGGATGGTGGTGTTACTGGATAGTAAGGTCTACGAGGGTTAATTTATAGTGATTACACCCCCACCCCCACCCCCACCCCATATGCCTTCTATACCATCTCACTGGCATGTTATTTGCAGCAGTGGGAAGAATCAGCGGGCTGCCAGCCAGCCGACTGCAGCGGCCAGGGGTCGTTTGGAATGCTCTGTGTGTCAGGTTATGAAGCCACTCCCTTGCTCTCCAGAGACGGGCTTTAGTGTTCTCTTGGAAAAATGCAGATAAAGTCAGGCTTTGTCTTAAGTGGGCCTATAACTCAAACTCGGTTATGCGGCTGACGAATCCCATAGCGGGTGGAATTTTGAAATGATGTGCTGCTTCGGTTTGGAGAGCAGATGTCAACGGCCGGTCCTTCAGCATGTTGCGGATTCTCAGAATTCACTGCATAGTTTGGCTAATGCACGCACACTGCCCGCCCCTGCGCCCCCCCCCCCCCTTTCCCCCCCCTTTGCCAGCCGTTTTGAGCGGAACATTGGTGATTTTGGTTCTCACCGGAGGCACTCCTTCCCAAGTGGTGGCCAGACAGTCTTCCGTCCCCAGGAAATGGCCCTGAGCCTCAAACCAAGTTTGAGAGTGCCCCACAAACCCGTGCGTGTCAGGTGTGGGTTTGCTGGTACATGCTCAAGCCCCCAACGTGCCTCGCATGTTGTTCCTTACATAAGTCCAGTGGCCTGGCCTCATTTGGAAATCCCCTTCCCCCCAATCTCTCGTCAGGCCCAGTCACCTCCTGCGCAAGCACGGCAACTCTTTTTGTGGAGCAAGTCGGCCCACTCAGTTAAATCCCGCCCGCCCTCCCGGTCTTTGGCTGGCCTTAATGCTCAGAAAACTGGAGAGGCTCTTGACAGCTCGCTTGCCTTGATGGATAAGGCAATTAAAGCCAAAAAGCCAGGTGCTGTTGTTTACACAGCCCCTCCTGGGAGAACTCGTTCTGAACCCTTCCCACGTGCTAGGTATTAACTGAGGCAGGAAGTGCAGCACGAATGTTCTCCTGGAGCCATCGGCAAGCGGGTGAAGACATACACAGGAAGCAGCAGACCTCATCACGTAGAAGTCAGGCCGGCCACGGGCGGAGCACAGCGAGGGCCAGGGGGGAAGGGAGAAGAAACCCAGTTGCTGGTATAGCACGTTCCGGGCACATTATGTATGTTCCTTGCTGCTAATCCTCCCGGGGGCCCCCGGGAGATAGCAAAACTGGCAGCTGGATAGATGTGTCTTAAGACCAAAGTTCCCGAGACAGGAAGTGATGGATCTGGGATTTGAACCTAAAACCATCTGGATTCTTTCCACGGATCTCCTAATCTCCTCCCTATCTACAGAGTGGGGTCTGTTTACAGCTTGGAGGGGAAAGCATGAGCTTCAGTCTATCTCTAGGGGAAGGTAGGGTACATTCCTTAACTATAAATACCATGACAGTCGCTGTTTGCCGAGCACGTATATTATGTCCCAGCTGCCAAGGGACACGCCACGCACTTCTCCCCCATCTCCCTGGCAGCCCTGCGCCGTGGGGGTGGTGTTCTCATTTTACAGATGAGAAAAACCATGTGTAGACTGGCCCAAGGTCTCAGAGTGGGAGCTGAGCCTAGCTCCCCTGCCCCCAACCTTATTCTACTTCAGGTTACTTATAGAAACTTTACAAAGTTGTGTTATTTTTAAAGCAGCCCCCTGGTGCCCAGGGACCGCCTGGTGGCACAGTGATGAAAGTGTTCCGCTTGCCCTCTCCAAAGGCTCAGCTGTTCAAACCCACCAGCCCCTCTGTGGGAGAAAGATGAGGCTGTCTGCTACCGTACACATGGGCAGCCTCAGAAGCCCCAAGGGGCACGCTCCTCTGTCCTTCAGGGTCCCTGAGTTCGCAGGGACTTGGTGCTGTGGCAGGTTTTTCATGGATTGTAGCCCTGGGAGCGCTCTGGGGTGGGGTGGGGGGTCGTTCTACTCTGAGCTCTAGGGTCACTGGGTGTGAGTGAGCATGGACTCGACTGCGGGGGCTTCGGTTTTCTGGCCCCAAGGGTCACATGATGACCATGCCCAAGGTCCCTCTGACCGGATGCGTCATGTGCTTCCTCACAGATTCCCTGCGTGACCCCAACCTGCAGTTGCGTGCCTGTCCCCGAGGGACTGCCGCCTGCCTGGTGAAAGGGGACCAGGTGTTCGACGTGGGCCAGCCGAAGGAGGGCCTGAAGCTCCTGGGCAAGGACAGGTCAGTGTGGGGCCTCCGGGGGTGTCGCTGCGCTTGTCATTGTCAGGAGCCCGGCTCCTTGGCCACTGCAGAGGACATCTTGATTCAGCAGGGGCCCAAAGTACGGCTCCCCTGGACCCGGGGTGGGGGTGGGTGCTCACCAAGTTTGTGGGAAATTGAAATGAGAAGCTAATGGTAAGGGAGGGCTAAGTTATTGGGGCCTCTGATTAGCCATGTAAACTGTTGAACACAAAGTTGATGATGTGAAATGTAAACCTTCACCTAATTTACAATAAGGCATTGTTAAAGAAAGGGGACAAAAAAAGAAAAAAAAAAGATACTGGGATTTTCTCATAAACTTTTTGAAGGCTCTTTGCCCTGCTGGCATTGTGAGTTAGGTTGCCAGCTTTAAATCCACCAGCCCCGCTGTGGGAGAAAGCTGAGGCTGCCTGCTCCCATGTACAGGAAGCACGGGGAGGAAGCGAGATAAAGGATGCTTTATTGTGGGCGCGGCAATGAATGAGATGAAACACAACATGTGTAGTTGGTTGAGTGTAAAACTGATGAGCTGCTCTCGTAAACCTTCACCCAATTCACAATAAAAAGTGTTTACCTTTTTGTTTTAAAAGATTCACAGCCTGGGAAACCCCAGGGAGCAGTTACAGCTTATCTGTTTCGGAATCGGCTCAATGGCAGTGGGTTCTAGGATGGTTGTCCTTGTGAGGGTGCTGACCAGTGGCGAGGCTCACAGGACAGCTGGCGCATTGCTTACTGCCCACTTCTTTCTCCCTTGTAGAGGTTCACAGTGTGTTATACACCAGAATCTAACCCGCGACCCCCTTTGATCAAGTCCCTGCGAATGCTGGATTCGCACACACTATCAGTAAGGCCCAAACCCAAACCCACTGCCACTGTCGAGGAGCTGCTCATTCTTGGCAGCCCGGGAGAGACCACGCCTTGGGGTTTCTGAGATGGGGAAATACAGAGTTTGTTTCCTGTGAGTCTCTGCTTACATGTTCAGCACCCGAGCAGCACGTTACTTTGTTCCACACATGTTTCTGTGTAAGCATTTGATATCACACATTGATCCGTTAGTGGTGAACCCAGGGCCAGAGTTGGTTTTTGTGGCCATAGGACACTCTCAATGGGACAGTTGGCAGGCATTCTCCCATTGGGAAGCTGCGCTCAGCAGACTGAACCCTGAGTGTCAACCCCCACCCCACCCCCTCTTCTGTAACCACGCAGAGGTGCGATTTCTACTCCCCACTGTCACCAGGGCCCTTCCTGAAGCTTTCTGGGAGGGGCTTGGTTTCCTCCCTGCCCCAGGGGCCCCAGGAGAAGCCTCTCACTGCCCGCTCTGGTCTGGCACTTGTGGGGGTATCAGGGTGAGTGACTGTGACAGATGGCATGTCGGTGGAGTCTTAATCTACATTTAAGAATGCTTAGGCGGTTTCTGTAGTAGGAAGGTGCTTAGTGACAACTCAGGGCTTCCAAAGCCCGAGGGGGAATTTGAGACATCACATGTGGGGAGTCCCTGAATGGTGCACAGGGTGAGTGTGCTTGCCTGTGGCCTGAGAGGCTGGCTGATGGAACCCACCCAGGGGTGCCCCAGAAGAAAGCAGGGGAGCCAAGCTCCGGGAAAAATCAGCCACTGAGAAAGCCCTGTCGAGTACAGTTTGTGCTGAGGCACATATTCCTGGGAGCTGGGATCACCGTGACTGCCTGCCGGCGCTGTAGTGGCCGCTCCCTTCCAGTGTCCATGCTACGTGCACAAGGACACCAGGTGTGCTGCATGCTGAGACCATAAATCCTGTTGCTGGGCGCCCGAGGCCGAGAGGAGAGCTGTGCTCTGTGCCGGCCAGGCCCACGTGCTGGGCGCCTGGTGGGGAGGGGGGTGGGTGGGCACAGCTCTTTGTCCTCAGACCTGGCTCTTCTTGCAGCAGACAGACCTGCATGCTGTCTGGGTTTCGCCTGATTAGATTGTTTATAATTCTCTTAAAAAAAATTTTTTTTTTGGTTTTAAACTAAATAGCTTTTCTCAGTAGTTGAAACGTGCATCTCGGTTTTATTTTTTAAATGAAAGCACGTACATCATGTAGCACTCATGAACGTTGACTTTAGAATTAAGAATTTTGAAGTGGAAATGATCAAATGTTATTTTGTACTACATATAGATGTAGTCTTTCTATGGGCTGGGGGTGGGGGGCCTTCAAAACACTGGTCAACAAGTGGATTTTTCCAGGCCTTTTTGAAGCTCCCTCGTGTGTCGGGGTTAACAGTCGGTTGCCCGCTGCAGAGTGGAGGTTTGTCCAGCACGTGTGTTTTCCCAATCAATAGTTCACACAGGAATTGTTCCGTGACTTTGGTGACAAGACCCCTTTTATGTTTGAGTGTTTCTTCTGCTCCCCCTCCCCCAGCGAACGGTGCCCCCGGTTCAGGGCCGCACATGAATTTGAATGAAAAATTAACTTGGGGTGCGTGTGGCGGGGGGAGGAGGAAGAAGTGCAAAAGTCCTTTCTACCTTTGACACAGCCTTTTATAATCGGTGTGGTGTCTTCCAGGCTGGTCCTGAGTTACGTGAAGGAAGGGGCAGCCAAGCCGAGCTTCTGTGATGGTCACAGCCCTGCAGTCACTGTCACTTTTGTGTGCCCCTCAGAACGGAGAGAGGTGGGTGAGCTGGTGGGGGACACGTGTTTGTGCCCGGGCAGTGGGGCTGGGTGCTGGGAGGGGTGTGCAGGGGAGCCTGGGAGAGGCTGTGCCTGGGGACAGGCGTGCTGTGGACGAGAGCATGGGGGTGCTGGTGTGGTGGGGTGCTTGTGAGAAGACTACTGTCAGAGGCTTTTAATTCTAGTGGTGTGCGGGTTTGGGCCCCCATCTGAAAAGGTCCGTTTCATGGCTGTCACTGCTGTGGGACGTGGCAGCGAGTGAACACCCCACACGTGCTCAGACTCACCGCTCCTGAGAAGCACCCTGGGAAAGTGGGCGCAGACGGTTTGCAGACGCGGCAGGAACTCTGGCGGCGGTGGCTGACGTTCTGGGGGACAGCCGTGCGGGAGAGTTATGGCCGGAAAGGGGCTTTCTGCTTTCTTCCTCCAGTTCTGAGCCTCCCCCTCCTCACTGCCCCCCTTCCCCGCTGCCTCCCCCGCCCTCCAGGCAGATTTACGACTGCTGTTCTCCGGCTGTTTGTTAGCTGTCCTGCACATTGTAAACTCCTCGAGAGGCACCCAGGGGTCCGCGCTCTTTGTCTTTGCGCCCGGCCCCGTCTGCACACGCTGGCCGCCTGTTGACGTGTTTTCCTATAAATGGGCCCTGGGCTGTGGGATAGGAGGCAGGCATTCCTCAGGGAGAAAGGGCTAGGTTTCCCTTTGATTTATTTCTGCCGCCTTGTAATAGAATGGAGCAGACCGGGCCGGATTCCTGTGCCAGACACCCAGCCTCCCGCCCTCTCTC